GAGGGACCCTGCGGCTCTGCTTCCTTCCTCCCCGCAGCTCATCGAGTACGCCAAGCTAGGGGACACCAACGAGCGCGCCATGCGCATGGCGAATTTCTGGCTGACGGTAAGTACCGCCACCCCTTCCCCATTCCACACAAATCCCTCCTTGTCCCGTCGTCCCCTCCTCGTGCAGCTCCGGTGCTGGAGCTGAGCGTGTCGCCCCGCAGGAGAAGGACCTCATCCACAAGCTGTTCAAGGTGCTGGCACCACGGTTCCAGCCTCACCCCGGCAGCTACACCCGCCTGCTGCAGATCCCCAACCGGGATGGCCTTGACCGCGCCAAGATGGCGGTCATCGAGCTCAAGGGGAACCCCTTCCCACCGCTCATCCGCCCGCGCCGTGACTCCGAGAAGACATTGCTCAACCAGCTCCTGAAGGGCTACCGTGAGGACATGCAGCGCACAGCAGCCCCGCAGGCCCCCGAGGGCACCCCTGTCTAGGCATCCCCCTCTGCCCTAAGGGAGGGCAGGGACGGGGCTCTGGCTGAGCTGCCCCTGCAGCAGCCAGCTTGTTGCTGTCCTGGAACACTGGAGGGGAAGGTGTCCCAGAAGGCCTGAAGGTTGATTGCTAACCTTGAGTTGCTGTGACGGGGCCAGAAGCTCAAGGTTTACTTGCTTCTTCCTGTGGTTTGAATAGAGACTCAGCAAGAGAAGGAAATCAAGCTGGGAGCTCTCATGGTTTATATTCTCGGTGTAAATAAACTCTGTGCAGAAAGTGAGTCTGCTTCTGTTTGCATTATGTTCTTACACACATGAATTAGTAACTTATTCCAGCAAAGACTGGGTTTCTGACAGCTTCTGGTCCAACAGCCTGACTCTCTGAGGCAGCATCTCTACTTCCATGTGACAGAGCTACAGTGTTTTCTAGAAGCCTGTGTGCAGCCTTTCAGGGCGTGAAGTGCAGTGAAATTCAAGTTAGTTTTGCTGTTTCAGAAGCACTGAATGCAAATAGGATGGTAGCACCAAGATAAGTCTTAAAAGAGGCAGCACCAAAGGAACTTTTGGTCTAATGAGGAGGCAATGTGGGCAGGAATAATGGTCATCTCTACCAAGAGTTTGGTAGACATCTCATCCTCAGGTTACAAGAAATCTGTGTATTACCCTATTAGAACAAAAAGGGAGAGTAGCAGAACTTCTTCAGAGAATGATAAAACTACTGGGAGATAAGAAACTTAAATTGTTAGCTTTGTCTTTGATGTGAAGTACAGCCAGTACTTGGAAGTCCTAGCTGTGGCTTCTGGCTGGAAAAAAAAAAAAAAAAAGGACAAAAACCCCCAGATACACTGATCCTTTCTCCCTCCTAAGTGTCACAAGCTAGGCCAAATGAGTAATGTTATGTAGTGAGTGAGTTGTATGGGAAGACCCAAAACAACAAAACTATAAGTGATGTTAACTTAAAATTTGGTAATTCTTTCTTCAGGACATTGAGTTTACGCAGTATCACTTCTGTTTTAATGACTTCTAGTGAGAAATTAAAGATGTGTGGTACTGTTTAAAGAAGAAGAAAGAAGAGTCAACGTCTAAAAAAGTCTGTTCCAGAGACACCTTAATCTTTATATTTCTTACGACCTTGAAATTGCTCTCCTTGCAGTTGATGACCTAACATCTTGTTCACACATTTTTTTCCCCTTCAATAGATGAACCAAACTGCTATTTCTGCAGACCTTCCACATTATTAAAAGTCAGTGCCTTAATGTTAAATTACCAAGAATAATAGCCTATACGTATTTCTTCCTTAAATTAATCTTTCATCCTATTAAACTGTACCCTAGTGCATTACCAGTGACTAACTACCCAGAACGCTGACTGAATCCCTCTGGAGATTTTTGCTGTGCTTCAGGCGTGGGGATGCTGCCCAAGTTTTTCACAGTAGCATTTCAAAGCAATAAGGCTACTGCGTGCCTTGAAGGCAAAGGCAAGTGATGTTTCACCTGTTTAATGTCTTAGGATTCAGACTGAAAATGTGAATCCTGTTTGATAAGCATAAGTCGATGTTACCTACCAGTTTATTTTGGACAGTTCAGCAGATTAGCTTTTCTGTGGGATTGATGAGAAACTGAGAGGTAGGACTTTAAGGACTGAATTATTTTCCCTCGATCTGCCCACCTGTCACTTTCTTAGAGGAGGAGGGACAATAGCTGTCAAACTATTTTGGTAGGAAACTGAAGGATATGAATGATAAAAATAATCCAAGGGAGGAAGATGACTGTGGCCCTGTAGCGCTAGCTGAAAATACAGTGTTATGCCCACATTACTGTTAACCAAAACATCCATTCTGATCAAAGGAGCCAGAAGCAAGGGCAGGTAGACTGATTTAGAAAGACAGCTGGATAATAACATTTAATGAGGGAAACAAGTCAGGGGCTTTTCTGCTTGTCCTTAAATTAATAACTTGAGGTTAAAAAAAAAAAAGTGTAGAAAAGCTAGAAGCTTCTAAGCCAGGTTGGGGAAAAGTTTTGATACAGACTCTTGATGTACAAATCCTTAGTGTGCATACCTAATTTTTGCAATATCTGTATTAAGATTAGGACAGCTGACAAAGCATTTATAATCTCACAGGCACGCTGTGTAGTCCTTCTAAATGCAACTCTCCTAAGATTGTGTAGGCTTCTACCAAAAGGGGCGGTTGTCCTCCCCGTCTGTCTTGTACTCAGGTGGGTCAGGCTTTCAGCTGCCTGTAGAAGAAAACAAAGGGGAAGTTTACTGTTAAAACATGAAATCTGTTCTTACTATTCCTTTGTATCCTGGCTGCCAGAGTCAGCTCTTTTCTATCACCCTTATAACCATGTAACATATGCCAATATGCAGGTCCATATGATCATTTTAATGTTCTTCCCCCTTCCCTCAGCCCCTTCTACCTCTGGAAAATAGATGCCTACCTGACTGCAGTTGTGAGACTCTGATACCAGTCATTAATATCTTGTTGGTCGCTGGACATCAATAACAACGTCTTGTGTGGAAAGGAAAGCTGAAAGGCAAACAGAACCTGGTGCCACTCTGTGACATTTCTTGCCAAGGCAGCAACTCCGATAAAAGGAGAGCGATCACCACTGAACTCAACTCAGCCCTGTATGCTGATTTCCATCTTTTTTCTTACCCAGATAGAAAAATTTAGCATTGGTACTGGGAGAAGCCAGAGGCTGGACAGTACAGAGCAAGTGCCAGTCTTGTTCGTTCCTTCCAGCTACAGATGACAGCTCACTTTAACTTAATAGGGTGTTTGGAAGTGGGCGATTACAGTCCTCGGCAGCTCTTCATCCAGTTTTCCCCCATATTCCAAGCTGCCACTAGGGGTCCTTTCACCACCACCATGTACAGATCACGGCTTGCCCAGAGTCTTCCTTCTCATATCTCACGGAATGAGCTAAAACAGCCCCCAGGCGCTGCAGCCTGGGAAATCCTGAACTTGAACCCCTACCTAAGGCATCAGTCCCAGTCAAAGACCCTGCAGGCCTCAGGGAGTTACATGCACAAGCAATATCTTTCGTAATAATACCCACATCTTTTCACATTCTCTGTTTTTCAGGGTTTTCTAGAAGCTCAGTCCACAGTGAGTGTAATGCTACATATTCATTGTCACAATTGTGGAGCTGTCCCCACAAACATGTGGCTCTGATGAGGGCATGTCAGAGTCTTATCAGACCTTCCTCACCTGAGCTAAGTGAAGCAACCAGCAACCTGTACGCCAGAGTTCTCAGGAAGGCCTACGCCATGAAGGGAAAAGGACCTATGCCACTCGAGAAGGGTTGCCCTAATTCAGGCTAGTTCATTGCATTGACTGTTGTCACCACTCTCATCATCTCAGTCCTGCTGCTGCTGAGATGGCAAGAGACCCACTTCGCAAGTCTGACTCCACTGATGCTTCTGCAGGGCAGAAGGGGGAAGACTTACACTGAGGAGCCCTCCCTGGCTCTGCGTGTGGCCGAACACTTTATCCACGAAGCACTGGTGAAGCGGGTAGACAGCCTGGCATGCCAGTTTGTTCGAGTTCAGCGGGTGCAGTGGGTGGCAGGGCTTTGTTGCAATAAGGATATCAGAAAAAAGGAAGAACATCCTGCGCTTCAGCTCTTCTCCCTTTGAAGGCACCACCAAAAGCCAGCCTTCCCGGATATACCAGCGCCCTAGGCATGCAAGGGAAATGAAGACAGCTGTCAGATCGTCACTGAGGGGGAAAAAAGAATGTAATGAGACAAACAGGAACACAGTGAGCTCCCCTTGTAGGTTACCAGGTTCTACATCCATCACAGCCACTAGAAGGCAGTATCACCTGCACAGATAGCGCCCATGCAGAAGCAGTAATCGGCCCAAAACTTTTAGTATATGACAAGCAGACTGAAGTTGTTATAAATCTACTGTGTTAATTAAGAGGATATTATGATAAGCAATTCTGTTTAAAGAGACCAGAACAAAAACATGGTTTGAAAATGGTATGCATACCTTTAAACTAGCATAAACCTTCAGAAAACACACTATCTTAAATTGTGTTGCCCAATGTCATTAGCAGTGAAAGAGAAGTTAGCCTAAGCTTTGAACATTTATTATTTTTCCATTGTTTTGTGCATGCCAATTTCCCTTGTGCATGCCAATTAAAAGAAAAAAAAAAGTTTTGCGGGTCATCTAACTATATACAGACCTCCAGCAATCAACAGATTACAGAATGCAGATTACTGTTCTAATGAGAAGACAGCAAAGGTGATACAAAATAACATATTAAAAGGAAGGTCTGAACAGGCAACCTTATCAACCTTCTGCTACAGAATACAGTCCAGTGTCATCTACCCATGAAATTAATTGCAATAAAACAAAAGGCAGAGAAATCAGCCAATCTGATAAACATAGTTGTAGGCAGCAATAAAAAAAATGGTGTCTACACAAAATGGAATAATTAAAGCAAAGCCTCTAACTAGAAGGATGATTGCACAAGATAGCCATCAACTCATGGGAATTATGAAGACACCTGCCAATAAGATTATTTATAAGAACATAAAGCCATAACAAGGTGTTGCCTTGTCTGGCCTTGTCTGGAAGACACCTGCCAGAGAATTTCAGCCACTGTTTTTTGTGCCTTAGCTTTTGGCTGAGCTAGTAAGTACCTTTCAGAAAACAACACAATTTTTATGGATTGTGTCTTACTTAGTATGCTACAGTCACAAACATAGAGGCAAATGAATTCCTGCTTAGCTTACTCCACAGGAACCACTCCTCTTGTCTGAATAAGAAACTAAGAAAAAGACGGGTGACATGCAGGAATCAGTCCAAGATTAAAAAACAAATGGAAAGAAAGCATCAGCAGCATGGGGCTGGACTCTGAACTGTTTCCTTCAGGATAAGCTGTGATCAGACTCCCTGGCATACAGTCTCAGCTGGCCTGTGCTGGCAGTCTTGGGATCCATGTTCAGGATTCCCAGGGGCACATGATTTAGGAAATTCTTGTGAAAGGA